TTGCTGCTCTTTTCACAAAAGCTAAGAGATGGAAGCAACCTAAGTGTCCCTCAACTGACGAGTGGTTAACAAAAATGTGGTATATTTACACAATGGAGTTCTATTCAGCAGTAAAGAAAGATGAAATAATGAAATTTGCAGGTAAATGGATGGATCTAGAAACTTATACTAAGTGAAGTAACACAGACTCAGAAAAAGAAATGACGTATGTTCTCCCTAATATGTGGCTTCTAGCACCAAATCCTTTTAAATTCCAGGTCCTTTTAATAAGAAAATGCTAAACAGCAGTCTCTTCTGCATGAAATAACTACCATCATCACAACTTTGCCTGAGCCTGATCACTAAACATAGCCACAATTGGGCTTACTGACGGGTGTGCTCATTCATTAAAGGCGTGTCAAGCAGGGTCACTGGACCCTCACCTGAGTATCCAGCCACTCTTCCTAGCCAACTAGTCCAGCCTTTGGAAGACAAAAGAAAAATGAAGAAGAACCCAATAGAGGAATGTTTTTGGAAGCCCTCGTCAAGATACTCCAATGGACTCTCATATGAACATTTGAAAGTTGCCCTGTTCTGACTTTTTTCTAGTTTCCTGTCTAGAACTTGGAATGCTAATTACTCTTGCCTTTACTTCTCCTATTCATGAATCAGACTTTCTTCACCCCTTAGGGACAAGAGTTATGTAATTTAGGAGTCTTTTAGATAGACCCACTGAAGGGGTACTCCATTTGCCTCACCCTGCATCCCTGTTCAGCATGGAAGAAGACAGAGTGGTCTGTATCCCTATTCCCTATTGACAATTTGGGTAATGCCTCCAGAGGATGGCATGATAAGAATAGGAGGTAGGAATTGGCTAGGCAGTTAGGGTAAAAAGACCCCAAAGAAATGTAGCTAGTTCCTTGGCTAAAAGTCAAAAATGTCCTTGGGTCTGTTAGCATCATACTCTGTTCCAAAAGCCAAAAATGTCAAAAGTATTTGGGAGCTTGTATCTAACCCTTAAAAGATTTTAGGGTTACCTCTTCAGAGGGGGGAATGTTGGAGGAGAGGGAGTGGGCAGGGATTTTATCAAAACACCTTATATGCATGTATGAAATTCTCAATGAAGTTTTTGTAAAAATTTAAAAAAAAAGAAATAAACCCAGTAAAATTCCCATCATTCCATTTGATTACTGTATCAGGTCCGCATTGTCAATAAGCTCCCATCACGTTTGTGACATGTTCACTCTGCTTAAAGCTCTCTAGAAATTGGGATTCCATAACTTCCTGTCCTGGTTTGTTTCTTCATTGCTGTGACAAAACACTCTGACCACTACCAACTTAGGGAGGAAAGGGTTTATTTAGCTTACATCTCCCAGGTCGTAGTTCATCAGGGAGCCCAAGGTAGGAATTCAGGGCAGGAACCTGGAGGCAGGAGCTGGAGCACAGGCCATGGAGGAATCCTGCTTACTGGCTTGCTCCCTTGGTCCCTGCTCAGCCTGCTTTCTTATGCAACACAGGCCCACCTGCCCAGGAGTGACACCACCCACAATGGGCTGGGCTCCCACATCACTCATCAAGAAGATGCCCTTCAGACATGGCCACAGGCCAGTCCAATAGAGGCAATTCCCCGATTGAGGCCCCCTCAACCCAGGTGTGTCAAGTTGATACTAAAGCTATCCAGCACACTTCCCAAGTCCAGCTATTCGATTTAAGGAGGCTCCCATTTTCAGAATGGTCTTTCTCGCTTTGAGCTGAAATCTACATTTGTAGAATGTCTCATAAATCCCAGCATTGTCTTCTGAGATGACATGGAATTAGCATCTTCATCTCCTTTATATGATGATTCTCAAATGTCTGAAAAGCCAATACCAAGTTTTCTTTTCTTGGTAAAAATATGTAGTAAAAGCAGGAGCATGTTTAGTGCACAGTGACACAAACAGACCTAGAAACAAATCATGTCATGACAGAAATGCACTCCAGGAAAAGCAGTAATCATATAAAGCTGTGGTTCTGGTAGTTGAGGAAGGCAGATAATACATTGAGTTCTAGTTTGGGGGCGTGATTATCTAAATTGGAAACTCTAACATGGAATAGTTGAATTTAATCATTTAGTTTGGATCCATGAGCATATCTATTCATGATTATTAAAGACACAAAAGCGGGTAAAGTTCCTGGAGAAAATATATACTGAAAAGGAAAGTGAGCATTTAAGGGGCAGTGTTAATAAATTATTTTTTATATTACTATTTATGCAGGTATACATTTCTGGTAATGATGGTTCTAAGACCAAAGTTCAGTGCTGTTCAGATGCAGGACCATCACATCCTGGACCCACCTAGGGATGGCGGTGGGGCTTAGAGAATGTTATTTCCATCAGAACAGAGTAAGGACCTGAAAAGGGGTACACCTGCAGATGACACCTTTAGTGACTGCTACTTTCCAGAGAAAGAAAGAAAGGTGAAACAAGGAAGAGCTATGGACAAATTCTCATTAGTGCTGTTTGAAATGGAGCATTATCTGTGGTTTGTTGTTGGGTGTGGTTTTAAGTGTAGTTTATATATATGCCAGATTTGTGATCTTCAAAGGAGTCAGTGTGTAAGACCATTCTCAGAGGGGCAAGAAGAAAGTAGTGTACTTTCAAACTTTTGTTGTACATGTGAGAATAAAAATGCATTAAGTTCATTTTACTTAGTATTTGAGTTGATGTTGACATAGGTCCCATGTGTCAAAGGTCCAAAGTAGAGAAATGTAGAGGGTTTGACCTGAGCATCCTCGTTAAATTTTCCCTCAGTACACTGTAGCCTGTGGCACTTTATCTGTGCTGGGCAGATCTATAGATTAGAAGATTGCAGTTCAATAAAATTATATATATATATATATATATATATATATATATATGGCTTAAAATGATTGTCATGAAATCCTTAATTGAAGATATGAAAAACAAGGTAAAAAGAAAGTCTAAGCTGACACTTTTCTGATTCCAATGTGAATCCAGAGGCAGAACAATTTTGAATAAATAGAATCTGGCTGTCTCTTCTGCAATCCTTTCTCTACATTTACTGCTCTGACCCAGGGACTTGAGTTTGAAATGCATTTGAGGTATTACCAAAAAACCCACCCAGCATAGATGACAACTCACAAAAGCTGCATCCCAGGAGCTTCCTGCCCAGCTTTCAGACCATTCCACAGCAGTCTCCTCTCCCTAGCAATCCTTCACTACCTTTATAATCTTGGGGAGAGGCCTTGTGAATTCTGCAGCATTCATGAACTTCCTGAAAGTTGTAGTTTCATTAGCTTCTGAGGGCTACAGCTTCCCTCCTTCCTTCAGGAAGGAATGTTTCAATTTAAAGGAAATAACTATATAACAGAAGGGCTAAAGAGCGATGGTGAGCCAGGTCACAGTGAAGAGTCTCCTGCAGTTTTCCTGTTTTGTGGCACTGAGTCTAAGGCTGTCATAGAGGGTATTTTTCACTCCAGTGTAGTCACTGCTTAGAAGAATCCCCTGTAGAAAACTCCCCCTCATTTTAGTATATAAATCAATGGAGAAAATAGTTTTTAACTAAAAATTTTTATTTAGTAATTCTCAAATTTACAAAAAAATCTGGAAGATTGGTATTACAAACAGTTGCATACTTTTGAAGTAGAAGCGCTAAAGATTTGTTCCTTTTGTTTTACGTCTCCCGTCTTCTCACTGTCTCACTCACACACACACAGTGATTCTTGTATGTTTTTCAAATAAAATGCACGTGTCCTGATACTTGCTTCTACTTCTGCCTACATCCTTTAAAAATAAGAATGTTCTATTACATAAACATTATGTATTATTATATAATGCATCAGACAATATTATCACTAATTTAGTAAGATTGTATAATAGTGTATTAATATTAAATTCCCTCACTTATACTAAAACTGCCATTCACTGATCAGATATTTTTACTTGATAATTATAGTGCTTTAGTTTCTTTTGATATAGAACATTTTCCTTGGAATTTTATTCTGTACTTTAATCTTTAAAAAATGATTTTACTTATTATTTTTATTTGATATGTATGAGTATATTGCCTGCAGGTATGTAAGTGTATTTGTATTGTGCAATGCCCATAGAGGTCAGAAGAGTGATCAGATCCCCTGGAACCAGAGTTATGGACAGTTGTTAGCCACCGTGTGGGTGCTGGGATTTGAACCTGAGTCTTCTGCAAGAGCAGCTAGTGCTCTTAACTGCTGGTCCATCTCTCTAGCCATCTGTACTTTAATCTTACATGACATTAATTTTAATTTGGAGTGGAACCTAGGTATATTAAAAATGTTGCAGTTTCTGCATTTTTTTTCTGGTTGTTCCCCAATTACCTTCAAGGGACACATTTTTGGCAGCAATATTAGACAGAGAGGCTGACCTTCCTATTGTATCATATCAGGAGCTACAAGATTTCATGTTGACCTGCAATTTTTATAAATAGTGCTGTTCAATCAAGTGGTAAGTTGGTGACTGTCAGATTATTCTACTGAAAAATCTCAAGTAGGGCATGGTGGCACTGGCTTATAATACCAGCACTTCAGAAGAAAAGGCATGAATTTGAGGCCATCCCAGGGTACATACAGATCGAGATCCTGTCTTAAAGCCAACAGCCAACCAATCAACCAAATAACAACTTGTAATAGTTATGATTTGGGGGGCTGGGAATGGGAAGGATGCTTTTAAACCACAGAATGCACTTTTAAAGTTTATTCCTAGTTAAGTATTATTGCTGCTTCCTTACAAAATTGAATCATGCTTTTAATTATTCTTCGTGGGAAAATTTTGTATAAACTTCTCAAATTACTTTTGGAAGTATAATGTAGAAAAACTATACATTTTCAAACCTCTTTTAATAAAGTCATTAGTGGACTAACTTGGTTTTCATTTGAATATCCATAAGTGAGTCAGCCTAATAAACACCTTTTCCCAAGTATTTATTTGGTCCTAAATGTGCATCTTAAGTATAATGGCTTGTTCTCAACCTGCATAAACATCTGTGTCAATGTGAGCTTAACAACATGTATGTAGCTAACACAGAAACAAGGAGAAAAAAGACAACACAGATACTTTTGACCCAGAACAGATGAGAGAAGGAAGCCCCAAGGTGTTTGAGCCCACGGGTTCTCAGGGGTTTGAGGATTCGTTCTCTCTGAGTGAGGATGGCTGCCCGAGCCCCAGGCCATTTCCCTGGCCCCTGTAGACGGTACTGGTATGAGGTGCAGGGCCCCCAGAAGATCTCCTTGGCCAGCTTTGCATCCGAGAGGAGCAGAGAGAGTAGGTTGGGTTTGACCCCTAACTCAGAAGCGATTTCATCCATATAGTCAATATACTGTACTCGACGTGTATCTTTGGGGCTTTTCACAGAGCTGGAATGAGAAGAACATCAGAACCCATATTTCAGATGCTGTCACGGCTGTCACTTGAGCTTCCAGTGGAGTTTGCTCCTGTTTGCTTATTGAGTTCACTATTCTATACTTATTAAATCTTAATTTCATCTATAGGCCTCAACTTCTTTAGCACGGGAAAGTCTCAACACAAGATGTAAATCCTCGAGGTTTCCAAAGTTCCCAAGTACCCAGTAAACTGACAGATAGAAAATGTTGACTGGATGGATAAAGTCTGGATTATATCTGGATTTCCAGACACGGAATCCAGTTCCATGGTATGAATCTAATTAGCAAAGGATAGATGAATTGAAGAGTATTCTTGAAAAGTAAAAGCTACTCTGAAGGCCTGTCATGGTGGCACACACTTGTAGTCCCTGCACACAGGAGGTCAAGGAAGGAGGATCACCACGAATTCAAGGTCAGCCTGGACTACATAGTTAGTTCAAGGCCAGCTTAGGAAAAAAGTTGAGACCCTGTCTCAAAAAAGCAAAACAAACCAAAAATAAACACAGAGCCTCTCTGCTAACTCACTTAATGGTAAAAGAGAAACAAAACTGAAAGAGCTGACAAATTTTTAAATATCAAAACTCTAAAATCTCGGGAAGGAATAAGTTTGTATCATTTAAGACAAATTTAATGAAAAGTAAATGAACGAAGTAACCAAATGAAGTTACACAGAAGTATCAAATGAGGCTAGGGAAAGAGGTACTAAAACATTTACTACTAAATTTACGGTTGCTGCGGGGAGAGAAGTCATTAAAAGTCATTAATAGTCTTACCCAGTAATGAACTTGAACTACAATACCAACCTGCCAGCCAAGATGGGTCCACAGGTGCAACAGCAGCAAGACTGTTATGGAGGTAATCAATCACTCTCTGACTGGATTTGAGGCCTGCTCTGCAGCAGGGAATTCATGTCTGTACTGTAAATCCAATCAAAATCCTGTGGCTGAGGAGTTTGAGGGCTCAGAGGAGAACTTACTATTGCTGTGTGGTTAAATCAACATTTCCTCAAACTGCCTTCTCTATATTTGCTTATACCTGCAGACAAATGCTACTTTGATCAGAGAATCTTGTCTTTACAGTGCATGGTGGTGAATGTAGAGACTCATGGCCACTCAGAATATGTAATAGTTGAGTACTCAGACCAAAACAGGACATTTACATCACCCCCTCTAAGGCTTGGGTAACAACACGGAAGAGGAGGAGGAAAGAATGTGAAAGCCAGAAGACAGAAGGTTGCAAGATGTTCTTTTCTGGGCATGGTACACCCTTCTTTGTTTGTGTTGACTTTTTAATTTCTTGAAGCTTATACAGAGTTACATAAGGCCATTTCGCAGAGTATATAATGTGCTTTCAGCATGTTCCCCCATACCTCACTGCCCTTCGCCTTCTTATTCCCTGCTGGTCCCCTTTACCCCAAGACTGTTTTGTTTTTGATTTCATATCATTCATACATGCATGATTTTATGTATCTGTAATGTTTAGGGTCCATAAATGACAGAAATATATAATATTTGTCTTTTTTCAGTTGTATCCATTTTCTTGCAAGTGATATAACTTATTTTTGTTTATGGGTGAAAAATTCCATTGTGAATATAAAACACATTTTCTTTACTTCTCTGGACACCTAGGTTGGTTCTATAACCTAGCGATTGTGAATAGTACTGCAATAAACATTATTGCTGGGCAAGTACCTCTGTGATATTCCAACTTAAACACGGAGAAGTGATATATCTGGGTCATACGGTCAGTCTACTTTTAATTATTTTTAGGAACCTCCATAATGATTTCTAGAGTGACTTTGCATGGTGCTCATTGCATAGACATGGTGTTCTGTGGCTATTTAACAAGTGAGATTTATGTTTCATGATCAGGTTCTATCTACACATGTAATTAATGGAAAAGGGTCACCATGATATCATTGAACTAAAATTATCCTATTAGAACTCACTTAGGTGCAAACTGTATGAAGAGTAAAACCAAATACTCGTTCTGAACAGGTTTCATTTACTTTGATCAAAAATTGGATTCCTTACTCTTTTGCCTTGCTCCTTTTCCTTCTTTTGATCTCCGCCATCATTTCACTCTGTGAGGGTAAACTTTTCAGCCCTGGGAAAACAAGATGGACATTGGAAGACTGTCAGGAAGACTGAGTGACACAAGTGAACAAAGAATGGTTCTGAAATAGAATAGCATAATCATCAAGTCTCTGTAAAACCTATAATCAAAGAAATCGATTTTTAAGGTTTTTTTTCCCTCAGTTTAAATAAAAACTCAACATCCCCTGCATACTGTAAATACCCTTATCACGTTTTATAATTTTCCAAGGATCCTCAAAGTATACTGTGAACTGACACAAAAATCCTCTCTGAACATTTCCTGGCATTGAACTAACATCCAAAATGCAAGTTTTCTGTCCAGAGCAATGAAAATATCTTAGCATTCACTGTGTTTTTGTGTAGTGTTCAGTGATGGACAATGTCCCTAAATGGCAATAAAAGCATTTTGAAAGAAGAAAACAAATAATCACAGATGGAAACTGTATATGTGTGAATGTGTCAGGACAGAGAAGATAAGACATGATGAACAGAAGGTTAAATAACATCAGGGAGACAGAACAAGGAGAAGGAGGCACACTGGTTTCTGCCTCATTGGGTGTCACGTAACTGTTGTTGCAGAACTATGACCTATACAGGAATACTCTCAAGGTTTTCAATTTCAGTTTCAAAAGTAAGTGTGTAAAACATAAAAGGAACAGAGTTAGAAACTGAAAGGTCATGCAGTACTTTAAAATATTATTTTAAATATATATGTAAACCTTGGAAATACACCAAATGGATATGTGTCTATACATGTAGACTGTTCATGACATGGCTATTTATAATTATTCCAAATGGAGCCTGGTCTCCACAGTGAATCCAGGCCAGCTGGGTCTACAGGGAGACCCTGTCTCAAAAAAGACCAAAAAAAAATTAGAATAAGTTGTAGATATATATATATATGTATATATCCATATGTTTATTGTATAAGAAGATGGAGAGCTAGGTATTAAGTAAAAAAATGCAAAATAAGGATTCATTTCACAATATTACATTAAGAGAAAGAAACCAAGCACTATGTAGTGCATATTCTCCCAACATTTTCTCCATTCCTTCATATCACGTGTGTTTTATGATCCCCTCTTACTGGATTTTCTTTGGGTTGCAAGATCACGGTTTCCCATGTAGCTTGTTCATGTGTACTTTGTTTTGGCTCACCCTTCCTCCACCCCTTTGTCTTCCCATCCTCATATCTACTTCCTGTGTGATCTTTTCTATCGCCAGCATTCATATGTCTATGATTCTCTTCATACAAAGGAAAAAGCAAATCTGTTTGCTGCTATCAGAAATAAACATTGCTCTCTTTGGTGATGCTGGGGAAGGTGAGGCTGGAAAAGAGTCAAAAGAGAGTTTCTAAGTTATGGCGATGTCCCTTTGTTTTTAATCTCAGTGGTGGTTTTTGTATGTGTCTTCAATTTTTGAACTTGTTCATTGCCATATGCCTGTGCTTTTGTGTGTATATATTACGCTAAAATGAGTTTAGACAATTTTGCTTTACCAAGGTTATGAGGTATTAATAGACGATCCCAAATAAGCATAATAAATGATTGTTTAGTTACTTGTTTCGTATTATCCACTTGATGCTGATATTTACAATGATCAATTCATAGTGGAAGCCAGCAAAGAAGATACATATTTATCAGGAGGAGAAGACATACAGAAAATGAAACCAAAACACCAAAGTAGAGAGATGCTAGAGAGTTTTGTATGAGAATCAAATGTGTTATTACCCAAAACGAATAGCCACATATGTTCAGAAAATGAAAGATGTGACAACAAAATAGCTGCAGCCCTATATCCACTTCAATGTGGATATGTAGTCAAACCTTACTTAGGGAAAAACAGCACACCAAAGTCCTTACTTGTCTAGTTAATGACTTTACATCTCAGAATGCAGAGAATTTAGCAAAGTCACCCATGACACTGTATCACATTTTGAGGCATCATGGAAAAACTGTCCCAAGAAGATAGAATCTCAGCTACCCATTAAATCAAGCCTGGAAAACTTGGTCAAGATTATTTAGAATTGTGAAGGGAGAGGAACCATATGATTTAATCATATATTTTGGTCTCAGAATCTACAGTGCAGCTCTCCCAAACTTGACCCTGCTGCCTTCCTGGTACCAAATTTGTTTTCCTCAGAAGTATCAATTTTGATAAGGACTTAGGAACATGCTTTATTCATGAGAGGACTGGTGCATACCTGTGAACACACGCACAACCCATCGGCTTTGGAGCTCTGATGTGGGGATGATGGCTCCCGCTGGCTGGATGATGCCAATGAAAGCTAGCGTTGGCTTCTCTAGCCGAGGAGGGAAGACCAGTTTAAACAAGGAGTGCTGGCTGTCCAGGATTGTTGAGTCATCTCCCAAGAAAGGAAATGACAAGGTGTAGCCTGTGGCAAAGACTACAACATCTATGCTCTCCTCAGTACCGTCCTCAAAGATGGCAGATGCCTGGGTGAACTCCTTCACGTTTGGTTTTATCTGCACTCTTCCAGTAATGATGTGATTTGGCAAGTCATCATTGAGAACTGTTTGATGGTCAAGAATTCTACATGAACAAAAGTGTACTGTCAAGAGATGAGTATATATTTTCTTTTCTTTTTGTTTTGTTTTGTCTTTGAAACAGGGTCTCTCTGTAGTCCCAGCTGACCTGAAACTCACTGTGTAGACCAGACTGGCCAGTATCTCACAGAGATCCAATTGCCTCTGCCTCCCAAGTGCTGGGATTAAAGGCCTGTGCCACCACATATGGCTATTATATTTTTTCTTAATAAAAACATTAGGGTAGGTAAAAGTTCCGGGAGCTATTATATAATTTCAATAATTTTATTCTGCTTATTTGCACCCTCAGAAAGGTGATACAATTTATTAGTCAAAAGCTTGGTTTTCTGATTCAGAACTGGACCTCAGTACAGTCTATTTCTCTTACCCACTGGGAGACCTTGGATGAATCATGAAACACTTTGGTCTCAGTTTCCTATTCTGTAGAACTATAATAATGATATAAGAATCAGGTGAAATTTTTGCTAATCAAATGATAATATATATCTTTAATATATGTAATATATAATATATACCTACAAATATCTTTAGATAATAATATTTTACCAGGAACAAATTGTGCCCATTTTTGATGTATTTATTTACTCTCGATATGATGAAAACAAATTTGACATTAATTAGTCATTAATATTTTTATTACACTTATTGCACTTATTTTATTTGCTTATTTATTTGTGTGTGCATATGTGTGTGTGTTTGCATATGTGTGTGTATGTGTGTGTGTTTGCATATGTGTGTGTGTGCATGTGTGGGTATGAAGGTCAGAGGACAACTTGCAAAAGTTGGTTCTCTCCTTCCATCATGCAGGTTCCAGGATTCTACCTCAGGTGTCAAGCTTGGTAACAAGTGCTTTTACCCACTGAACCATCTCACCAGCCCAGTTATTAACATTTTAACAGGTATATCTGCAACATTTGAGAATAAATTTTCAATGGGAAAATTTGTAGTGACACTCAGGCCTTTGGTAAACTGCAGTTCAAGGGTTGAGGTGAGAATTAATAGCAGGGAATCATATTCTCAGGGTACATTAATACCCGAGCAATATTATTAAATATAGCTTACATGTTCTGAATAATTTCTCCTTTAAAAGAACATGAAGTCATACATACATCCTCAGTTAAGCAGAAGATTCTGTTGCATTCTTCCAGATACATCTTAATATTAATTTTCTGTTTTCAAATTTTTATTATATTTTGTGGAATGTTCTAAAACTTTAATACAGAAATCTCCTCAGGGTAAAAAGGAAACAAGACCAAGAATGGATACATGAACGATACCAAGTTTTACATGTCATATGGGGAAAATGAAGAAAGAACACATAGGAAACGTGGCCCCAGAGTTGGAATGAGAGAAGGAAAATGTGAGATGAGAGAACTAGATCAGGTCTGAGAACTGGCGGGGCTTCAGTGAGGTGAGAGAGAAAAGCCAAGAATTTACAAACACAGAACGGATTTTGGAATGATAAGGATAAACGTTGCAGTTTTCAGTGGTAAGATGGCTGAAGATGACTGAGGACAAGCATCTTGCAAAATGGGTAGGACAGGAAGTCAGTGCAGGTAAAGGGGCCAAAGGGCAGGACTAGAGAAGCGTGAGGCTGTTGCACATGGATAGTGAGTTGTCTGGGTTGGTGGTGGGTTGGAAGGTAGCAGTGAGTTCAGAGTTTTGAATTTAGAGAGTGGACATGCAAAAAGCAGGAGAATAGTGCCGTCGTACGAGTCTGAAATAGGACATATTTTAACGTCTCTACTTCTTCACTCCATGCCCCATACGACTTTCCTTATACCTCAGTTGAATAACCACGAACTCCCAGTAAGAAGGAAATACTTTGAATATTCCCCATCAAAATAAATTTGATGAGGAATTATGGTAGTTATCATTTACCCCATACATGTGGCTTATAGTTTTACTTGACTAATCCAATAGCTTAAACACACTGACTTACATTCCAGGCCTTACCTATGTTCAGGCAGCAGTCCATAATTGGCATGGTTAAACCTTGCATTTAATTTATTCTCTATGTGTCTGTTGAGCAGGAATGTGGGATACAATTTTTGGACAGCTCTATTGTAACGAGTGAACAGTGTAGCATCCATAGGATTTCCATGATCCCAAACCCGGTTCCATATCCATGCCCCCCGTCTTGTGCTAAGGAAAACCTGCAAAAGAGGAGCAATTGCTTAGTAAATATTTAGCTGCTAATCACTCTGGTCTTAGATTCTCAGAGTATCTGTTTTTTCAGTTGTCAGGGGACTAATATTAACTTCTCATACTGCCTCATCTACTGAGTCAGCTTCCTTTCTCTATAAATAGATCCAGTTACTGAAAGTCCTTTCAATTCACTTTTTTTTTCTGTCATAGACCTATTCCCATTTTAATGTTTGCTCTAGCTGTGCTAGATGTCTGGAGTGTCTGAGGTCCTAAATGTGAAAAACAAAAACCAAATCAAATACTTATAGGCTATTATGTTGGGAGCTACTCATTAATGTTTATATTTCCTGTAAGCTCTTCCATTTGAAATTTCATGATGAAAGAAAAACATATGAATAAAAAGTTAGGGATAAAATAAAAAATAAGGTACAAAAGTTCACACTGGAATTTTCTCACATTTACAAATGGAAAATTCCATGTACAATAAGCGCATGAAAAGGAGAATATACATTTTGAGAAGTATTTTGCTCTATCTTGAGTCATTTAACTGAAACCTTGAAAAGAGACTGCAGTTCTTTACCGATGATGCAGTCACCTGAGTGCTACGTCATCATCATGGATTTGTGATTCAGGTATCTCAGCATCCTGCCATGGTTCTTTTTTTTTTTTTTTTTTTTTTTTTTACAGAAAACATTAAGTATTGGGAAATTTTATGTTTGTTGTAGATTATGAATCAAAATAAAAAAATTAATTTTGATTTTTTTGCAAGGTTCCTTAGGAGTCAGAAACATGCTGTAGAAGAAAGATTGCTGTTTTCTTGCTCAGTATTTGTTCACAGTCAGTGAGAGACTAAAATTTTTTCCTATTCTTTGTTTTGTTTTGTTTTTCTCTGGTTTTGAGACAGTCTTCATGTAGCCCCAGCAGGCCTGGAATTCCCTATGGAGACCAGGCTTGCCTTGATCTCACAGAGATCCTCCTGCCTCTGCCTCCCGAGTACTGGGATTAAAGGCGTGCACCACCATGCCTGGCCTTTTATTCTCTATTCTTAATAACTTATACAGATCAGTGGTGCACTTTTTACTCAGGTTTGCATATACTGTCTATGGTTTAAACTTCATTTCCCTTATAAACAGCTTGGTGTCTTCTGCAAAATTCATTTCATTTAGAGATTTCCCATCTTGCCTGTGTAGATAGCACGTAGATAGCTTGTTATCCGATTCTAGCTGGATTGCTGCTTCTGTGACTCCAGTGCATTATGGAGTAGAAGGATTACCATACTGGTGCTCTGTTTTTTGTCATTTTTATTTAGTCAACAGGAAAATGTGTCATTGCAGCCTAAATGGGGATAATGCTGCTAAAGCGACAGAGAAAGTCTAGATTCACAAGGTCTCTGAAGGTTTCAAGCTTACACCCAAGAGCAGAATCAGGGTATGATCCCAAACCTGTTCAGCAACACGACTGATCTCGCCAGCCACATCGGCTCCAGAATTCCCAATGCCGATCACGACCACTCTCTTCCCCACAAAGCTCTCTGAGTGCTTGTACTCCCAGCTGTGGAGGTATCTGCCTTGGAACTTCTCGATCCCTGTGAGGGAGAGACAAATCCCCAAGTCACACACAGAAGTGGAAAACGATGCCTGGAAAATTTATTCCTAATATGAAGTTTATGTTATGTAAATTCCTTTCTCTGTTCTTGACAATTTATTGCCAATATTACAAAATAAGATTATCCAAAGAACAAAATATTCTAGCAGTGATGATGTGTCTAAGACTAAAATCAGAGAAGATGTTTCTTTTAAAAATATGCTCAATTTTATTATTTACTTGCTTATTTTTATTTTATGTGTATGAGTGTTTTGCCTGCATGCATGTAAGTTCAGCCATTTGTGCAATGACGGTAGAGGCCAGAAGAGGGCAGTGGATCCCCTGGAACTGGAGTGATAGACGATTGTTAGCCATAATATGGGTACTGGGAACCAAACCCAGGTCCTCTGAAAGTGCAGCCAGTGTTTGTAACTGCTGAAGCATCTCTCTAGTTCCAAATATAACCAATTTTAAATTTGATTAATGTGTTGTTTCTTGTGTGTCTTTTTTCTAATTTTCTATTCATAGATATGTAACTATTCTTCACTTTTTTTGTAACTCTAAAAAAATTCACTAATATGTAAAGATCTTTTAGCAGTATATATCCCTGTTGTCTAAAAGTGATTGAATGCAAGCCACAATTGAATTTCCTAGAAGTACTATAAACATGTGTGGAAGTCAGTCATGGTGGTGCACACCTTTCATCCCAGCACTCGAGAAACAAAGGTAGGCAGAACTGTGAGATTGAGGCCAGCCTGGTCTACAAAGAGCATTCCAGACCAGCTGTGGTTGCAGGGAGACCTCGTCTCAAAAATATGAAAAAAAAGGTGTGAAAATGTTAGCAATTTTAACTCCATATTTTATTTAACCCTAGATAATCTAAAATGTTACTATATAGCTAATACAAGGTTATTAATGAAGTACTTTATACATTCCTTTTATGTATTCTAAGTTTGGTGCTTATTTTACAAAGGAAACATGTTAATTTGTGTTCGTCACATACCAAGTGCTCATTAGTGACATCTAGCTAATGGCTACTCTAACACCAGAACCTGGCGTATTGTAAGTTAGTTTCAAAACATTCTGGAAAAAATTACATTTCAAAAGTGTCATGTATGTTGCCATAATTTGTAAAATTATGTCATGCATATCTGTTATTCATTGAGTGTGCCAAAGACTTCTAAAATGTCTCCAAATGCTGTTTTTCCCCCTCTGAATCCTACTTCCCTTATTTTATTGAAAGTCTCCATCATCATTGTCTCTTGAAACGATGGTTTAAAGTCTTCCTTATGAATATTCTCAAGTTGATTATACTCCTCCATCAATTAATGTTCCACATCACTGAAAGATTGATCTTCATAAAATACAAACTTGGTCATATACTTGTTTCCCCCAAACCTACACACACACACACACACACACTGCAATGGTTTGTTGATTCTTACATACTTCTTCCTGCTCAGCTTCATCAAGTCTGGGTCATTCTCTGAGATTTATCCTGTGATTTCATATCTACTACTTTTTACACACCACTTCCTCTTCCAGGCAATACTCTCTTCAGACCTTCCAATTTCATTGTTACTTCTATTGCTAGATCTTTCCTGATTCTTCTGGAAAGCTATCACACCCTAACTTGTATTCCCTCTGTGCCATACAAATACTTTTGTCCAGTGCTTATAATAGCTTATGCATTAAGAGTTTTAGAGTCTTAAGACTTTTCTTACATACTTGGCAGAGAAATACCTGCAAAATCCTGTAAAGGCAAATACTTTTCAGTGTAGTGCCCACTGCAGACCATGACCCCATCAAAGATATAGGTTTTCTGCACCCGGTCAGTTTCTACTACAACATCCCACTGGCCAGAGGTTGAAAAGTCAGGGCGCTTCCTCACACTGCACACATTTGTCTAGGAAACAAGAAAGAAAGTCTGAGTTTTAGAACATTTTTCTCAATCTTAGTATTTTTTCTCCCATGGAATTCTGTGCTAAATAAACAAAGTAGCTCTAGGTATGCCTCCTGGATCTTTAGAGATTTTGAACACATAAACTTGCTAAAAGCCATTTCCTAAATGTTTATACTTTGGAGTACAAAATGCTTTGGTTTTATTTTCCATGACCTATATTTTTATTTAATCAAATTAACCAGAAGTTATATTTCAGGTTCCAAGTGGGATAGTGCTCCTCTATTTGGGGAGATAAGACAGAAACAGGTCTTCACTAATCGTGAGAAGGAGGAGAGAACATTTCTTTCAGAATTGTAGTGGGAAACGCAAATTGGAATTGTGCCCCCACTGGCTCTGGTTGTATAGACTTGCCTCAACCAATGTGCAGGTGATGGGTGGGGCTTTCATGCCTTACCTGGAACTGGATGTGTTTCAGAAGCCCAAAGTGTCTGGTGTACATCCTGAGATACTCCATCAATTTGGAGTTGTGCATATAGTTGGGGTAATGGTCAGGGATAGGGTAGTCACTGAAGGCTGTCATCTCCTTGGAAGTGTTAGAGGTCAAAGATTTGTACATTCCAGGACGTCCGCTTTCTGGTGTATCCTACAGGAAACAAAGAAACTGTGGCTTCCAGAATCCAAGAACACAGTGTGGACTGTGTCAGGGATGATCAGAACTGTGGTGTTTGGTATATTTTTCTTTGAAAAATTGGTATTTAATCTCCAGTTTTCTGTAATAGTGCTCAGCAGGATGAGGGCATTGAGCTCATTTCCTAATGAAAGTTTCTCTTACTAAAACTGTATTTTTAGTGATTGGATGTGGTAATAGTAGTTATTTCACAAAAGGAAACAGATAACAGACAGATACTAGAAATATATACAAAACAAACAGAAACAAAATTAGAAAAGAAGAAATAACACAGGAGGTTTGGGAGAGGCCCAATGGACAAAATCAACCTCATAGATAAAGGAATTTGGTTTAAGAGACTACACTAGTAAAACAAATAATTATATGATTTGGAACAAAAAATAATTCAAATATGGGGACTATTAACCTATAAACAAATAATAATGATGGCTATAAGATAAATGTGATGAATTCATAAGAACTACTTTTTAAGGCTCATGTATTATACATCAGTAAGACACATCAATATTAGGACTACACTTCCCTTTTTCTGAGACACTGTCTATGAGATAAACTCACTCCTTTGAGTTATGCATAGCTGCATTTGCAATGAACTACACCTTTCTTGGTAGAAACAGTTTTTCCAGCAACTAATGACATAAAATTTCTCAAGATCCTATGACTAGATGAAGTACTACAGGCAGTTGATGACAGCTGAGGGAGGAAGAATCAGTTTTCCCCAGGGATGAGCTCCCTGAGAGGCCACCCAGTCTCTGGTGGTCACCCTCAAACACACATACAAACAGTCAACAGCAAATTAACTCAGTAGGTTATGTATCTATATATTTATATACCTAAATTTATACATATATGTATATATGTAACAAAAACAATTACAAAAGAAGGGGTCATGAATTTGAGAGGGAGTGAGGAGGGATGTGGGAGGAGTCGGAGTGGGGGAAGTAGGGATGTAGATGATGTAAATACAGTACACATGTATGAAATTATTCTCAGAAAATGAAAAATTTAAATAAATGTCCCCCACAAAACAACATATAAGTAATCACATGGTATGGAGGGAAATGTCACAAGTAAGATTCAGTAGATCTTATGTCCTTTGGTCAAGTTTCCTAGAGGCAGGATAACTATACACACTTTTTGAGTTTTAGCATTCTTACGTAAAATCTGCATATTGATACTCCAAGTATTCCATGTGAGGTTGTCAGGGAAAGGAAAGTGAATAGGATTTTGTAGTTACTACAAGGAATTTTGAGTTTATTTAAATACCATATGTTACTAATTTGAAAAGTACACTTAGGGAGTAATTTGTACACCATCAGAGTTTTATTTTCCAGTCAAATGAAAACAATTCCCATAAATCCAAATAACAATATTTATAAACTTACCTCATAGTTCCACAGTCCTCCAATATCATTTCTCTTTTCAAAGCATGTGGGTTCAAGTCCCTCTTCTAAACAGCTCTTGATGGCACCTAATCCGCTTACCCCGGCACCAATCACTGCAATTTTTTTTACTTTCATGGTCTCTTGAAAAAAGAAAAGTTCTTTCAGTTTTGTTTTGAGCAACAAAGCCCCAAAGCCCCAGTTCATTGCTATATCGGTGTCTCCCTTCATTTCAGCAATTGACATATTTTTGACTACAGCTTTACTTACTTCTATTATAGCTTACTATGCAATCAAAATTTTATTTAAAAATATTTATATAATGAAGGTTACTGTGACATAATCTGCAAACTAAGACTTGAAGAGGGGCTCAAATTTGCCACAAATTTGCATCTGACTGTTGTGTTGAGTCCTATGGTTTTCTGTTCTGTTTCTACTCCTTCCATTTTAGCTTTATTCTCTATTCAGTGTCTTCCCATTATTTCTAATGAATTGTATCTTAACATCTGTGCAGACATGGACAAATAGCAGCAACATTGCATGATAATTTCTCTTGTCTGTTCATTTGATTTTTGGGTTCTTGGTTTTATGTCTGTGGGGTAAGATGGTTAGAAAATACACTCATTCCCTCTTACCTCAGATCTCAACATCTCTATATGGTGTCCAAGGCTCTTGGTGAATCAGGCTCCACCCTGTTCCTTGATCTTTTCTGATACCACCCCTCCCTCTTGCCTGTCACCACTACGTTATATAGAACAGCATGACTATCTTACTTTGGTGACTTTCTGCTTGTTTCTTCTGTTGTACAGAAATTCTTCTCTTTTCCATATACACCCACATTGTAATTTTCTTTGCCTTTCTCTTCAATACCCATAACTGACAATGCACAGTTTAGAATTTTGCTCTAGATTCTAGATCGATTTAAAATTTTTAGGATGTGCTGTATTCCTTCTTCATCTGGATGGTGACATATGAGGATGGGGACATCACATTCTCTGTGAGTCCACATCATAGTGCCAAAGGACAGCATAGGAATGCAATGACCAAGAAATGGTCTCAGCTTTCTAAGGCCACCCACTGCTTTATCCTAATCTTGGCTCGATAGAGGGATTCCTATTGTGCTCCAATTTTAAGGACATTTTGTGGCTTTACTTCTTGTTTTCCTTTCACTCTGAATCCTGATTCATGTTTCTTGTAGAAGGAGTTGTTTTACGGGTGAGTTATAGACTCTGCTGTCTGTTGTGGGAGCTGAAGCAAGCCCAGGACTGTGCCCCTCCCACTGAAGCTCTTTCTTCTGCCCTTGTAGGGTGTGAAGTATACTGTGGTCATCTGTCCAGCTGACATGATGAGCTTGCTGAAGAATTCATTCTCTCAGCTGCACAGAGTCCAAAGCTGGACTTGAGGAGGAGAAACAGGAATTCTATTCAGGTTGAAGGATAAGCCACATTCTGCAACTAAAATGAATAGAAAGCCTTGTGCTTTGGGAAATAAAGCCAATATTGTATTTTAATGCTCATTTTTCCTATGTCTATAGAAAAATTCATTACTCAGAACTAGCGAGAAATAGAAATGTATCTAAGTATGTATATTGATAATACTTTCACATGCTTAACAATTATAAATGCATTTTCTCCTTTTATATACAGATTTTAAGTTCGTTTACAAATGCATTTTCTTCTACTGTTATATACTGACTTTGTATTCATTTATAAGTGTATTTTCTTCTTTTATATATAGAATTTTTATGTTCATTTAAAAATGGAGTATAAGGGTCATTTAATCTTAGAATAAAGCAAAACTCATGTCTAAAATTTCATATCTATTTAATAAGTAGAGCATCATCTTTTCCCATTCCTCTATGATAACTACGAATTTTTTGTTACATAAGCCCAGGAATCTTTACTTTTCTACTCCCAAATTAATTGATGTTTAACACTTTAAAAATCATAAAATACTAAACTAAGAGAAAATAAAAATTACATATTCCAGCAAATCAGAGATTGTTCGGTATATGTAAGTTTAGACTCTCCCCTTTTTTGATCTATTTATGTCCCTTTAACATAGAGTTTATCAACCAGTTTTTCATCTAACAGTTTTAATAAACAGATTTCCACATACCTGCAAGTCATAGGCAATACTTGTTTAATGAGTTTATTAATCATAATGGTTGTAGAACTTTCCATATAATTTTCAGCTGTGCATTTTAGATTTTTTCATATTTCCTCTATTATTAGTAAATAAGTTTTCCTACCTTTGCATCTTTTCTGACTCTAAAGATACTGCAAATTTATTTCTTTTTCATGTGACTGTATCTGTATCAATTGTTTCTATTACTCCCAGGCTATAAAAATACAGGCACTGCTCTTGAAATGGTGTCTAGGGAATAGCATCTATTCAGCAAATGGTAGTCAGTGTTTTAATCATTAATTGGAAAACATTATGCAGAAAATCTTCAGTGAAAACCTCACAATGGGGAGTAGATTAGGGAATGTGTCTGCTGGGCTCCCTATCTGGATTTATGTGTTTTTTCCATTTCATTATCTTTAATTTCTGATTTTTCCCTCTATCCTTAATTTCACGTCTGTTTGAAATTTTGATTCAGAACATTTATATTAAACAAGTATAAGGTAAAATAATTGCTAGGAGCAGGTCATGTATCATGCAGAACATTTGATGTTAGCATCAAGGAAGCAAAGATCAGTGCAGCAATAAGTATAATACATAACAAAACAAGTGCCAAGATAATCACTATATTATCAGAGTACATTAATAGTCATTTATTCAACTTGTGTCTCTATCCAGAAGAACATATTTAAAATTGAGAAATCCTGGCAATTTGGGGCTATATTTTTGCTGTTATGAGAGAATGATTGAAACCAATCCAATATGAGGAGATACAAGAAGGCAGACAAATCAATGGATCTACCTTGCTACCCACAACGTCCTGGTGTTCTACAAGAAGGGTTGTTCAACTCACAATCTTTAAGAGAGCTTGTCTTCTTCCTGGATTCAGCAGCGTGCAGTTGTGCTGTTGTTTTTTCTGTCCTTAACTCAGGTTGAGTTGCTTCTGTGCCAAGGGACTGTGACAGAGATTCTCCGCTCTCCTTGCTGGTCAGGTCTCTGCGGTCTTCTTCCCAAGTGTCCTCTCACCTCCAGAAGAACATGGTGCTGCTTCGCATCCACAACCCTCTTTTATATTTACCTGGCCCCTTTTGCTCATGAGAGGGCAGGATCTTTGCACAAGCTCCTAGAAGGATCCACCCTTTTGTTTTTCTTGGACAAAAAGTGTCAGCATTGTAGATAGAGATAAACTGTTTCTATATAACTGCTACAAATTACTTCTGAGAAAAATCTGTCTCCAAATTCCCCCTTTGGGACTTTCAAGCACAAAAGAATTCTCCTTCCCAAATTTTGTCAAGACTTTGCAATGATAAAGTACTACAAAGCCATTTCCAATATGATGTGCTCATTCCCTTATGCATTATGGTTGTCTAGCCTGAATCAATAGGGTGCTAATGTACAGATATAGACACAGATGCAGATGTTTGAGAAGGGATTCATTAATGGAGTTTGTTCACATGACTGTGCCAGCTGAGAAGTCCCACAAACCTGAGGCCCTGTGATGCTGGTAGAGTGACTCAAACCAGGGAAGTTGATGTTGCAACACTCCATCTAAAGTTGAAGACCTGAAATCCAAGGAAACTGTTGTTTTAAATCCAGGAAACTGTTGTTTAAATGATGGAGTACAAAAGCAAAAGAAGAGCTTAGAGTTCTGGTGTCCAAGGATTGTAGGAGAAAAGAAAATTGTCTTTCCTTTGCATTTTTATTCTATTTATACCCCCAGTCAATTGGATGGTGACTGCCCACATTGAAGATGGATCATTCCTACTCAATGGACACTGAGTCCCAGGCTAGTCTTTGGAAAACCTTCACAGACACACCTGAGTTAGTCTAGACTTTTAATCAATGCCAATGACGTGGATTTCCCATGCAGGAAAAGAGTAATGGACTTACCATCTATTGGATTTGAGAACGAGGCTTTGCCAGCTGTCTTAGCCCCTTTAATCCAAACAAATTGACATGAAATATTAGGCATCACGTATCCACCTTTTGTTAACTTGGCATCCATATGGTTTTCCTTAATCCATACTAAATCTTTAAAGTCAGTGAAACAGTGATAGCTTTACCTAATATGATATAGCATTCCTACAGATGACTTTCTAAAGAATGTTAACCCTTCCTGATAGAGGAGGTAAAATACTTGGGTGATGTTGCTCATCTCCTGATATCCCCAAACTCAAATACTGTGGTGGATACTTAATGTAAAATTAAAACTTAGATATTCTTATAAATATTATATTACACTAATAAGAAGAATGAAAATAAGTCTATGATATACGCATACATTCACACAAATGTGCACAAAACATATTCACAACAAAATAAAGATAGACTGCTCATGGCAATTACAGTACTAGTTTCTATAACTGATCTCTAGTCATGGTCATAGTTGGTCAGAATCTAAAAATTTACTGGACACTGAGTTAGCCTATGACCTTTCCTGTGTATATGAATCTTTAGGAAATCAACTGTAGCCAAGGTGCCCAACCGAGGACTGGAATTCAGGAGAGCTCATAAAGATTCCTAGGACTGTCTCAACTTGCTCCAAGAAAGGGGTTGTGGGTACCAGAAGACTCTGTATACTGGGTACATACTACTTGGAACAAAAGGCCAGGCTCAGGTATGGCATGGTGAGGCCAAGACCAAGTCAAGGGCCCAGTGTCACGGAGCTTCTAGGACCAGGCTGACTGGGCATTTACTTGTCAGGTCACAGCATGTTATCTGTAGGTCCACAGACACCTGTGCCCGGAGAAAGGCCTTTGCTGGGTGATTTAGCCAAAAGGATCAGATTCCCACAGAGTCATGCTTGGGGTAAATAGGCAGGAAAGAAACTTAACAGACTTTTGGAATCCCTTTCAGATTCTGTATTTTTCTTAGTATCAGACTTGATGTTGCCCTGACTTCTTGGTCTTCCGAGCCACACAGACTTATTCCCGTCTCAAAATCCATGATCTATCTCCTCAGCACTTGAGTTCCCTGAAACTAGGCTATTCAGGACTCAAAGGGCTGGTCTTATCTGTAGTATCTTTTAGAATTATGACTCCAGTCTGTTCAGAACTGGGCTTGTCCATGCAGGATATGGGGCTCTATCATCTACACATAACCAGCATCCCTCATGACCTTAGGTCCAGGACACATACCCACCTCTTCAGGGCTGAGCCTGGCTATGGAACCACTGATCTCAGAACCCTTATCTGTGGCTATGTTGAAAGGCTTTTTGGGTACAGAGATCTGATGTCTGGTGGCGGCAGCATGGGCTCTGGGCTAGGTTAGAAGTTGGTGGAGGCACCCTGAGGGCAACTGAGGGATCTAGCGCTCTAAAAGACCTAGCTAGCTAGTTTCCTTGGGTGGAAAAGCAGTAATCAGTGTCAGAAACGAGCAGTCCCTTGCCCATATGGTAGGTAGCCTACCGCTATTCCAAGGTTTGCATCCTAACTCATAGGTCTTTGAACCTGCCTTGCAACAGGGTCTTCACCTGGCCTACTATGGTAGTCTGGCTTCTGATGGTAAAGGCCTAGGAGAAGTACACAGTGAAGGTAAATTCCTGGGGTAAATTCCACACGTGTGGCCATCCATGATGATGGCTTCCATAGGCATGTGGCTGTCCAAGAACTCCAAGTAGAAGTTAGAAGTTATGCTGCCAGGCATATGAGTCCAAGGCATTGGTAAGGCACTTGCTACCTGCCTATCTTGTATATGTAGCCCAAGTTGTCCACTAGGATATTGCAAGTGGCATAGGCCAAAATGAAGTTAGCTCACTTTCTTGGTGAGGCCAGCATTCAGGATGAGGCTCTGGGAGCCTCTCAGCTCCCCCCTTTGTCCAGCTCCATCTTAGAGCCATTATTCTCTAGGTTCAAATATCCATGCTGTCTGGAACACCATTAACTCCTCTAGGCCTCTGATCCCATGCCTACCTCATCAGGAGGGGCAGGACATTTTTGTCTTAATTCTAGTGCCTGGCATGGTGAATGCATTTAAATACTACTGACAGAGTCTTAAATAGAAGATTCAACATGCTCTCCAGGTGCTTGGCGGACTCTGAGGTTCCGAGTACCTCAGTCTCAGCTCCTCGACTATTCACAGGTTCATCTGAAAGTCTCACCAAAAAGTAATTTTTTACTTACTTATACAGGCCTAGACCAGAAACTGGCTAGAAATGGGTCTTGGAAGCCAACCTTCCAGGGACCCTTTTAGTTGTAGCAACTGCATCCTTTTATCTCCTGGGTGAATGAGAAGAATCTTTTTCTATTCAGTCTGTATTTTATTCAACTTTCATGGCTGGTAGGGTGATCTACACATGTCTTTTTGAGAAATCTGGGTCATTTGTAGTCTTTTGTAAATCAGGTTGTATTTTCTATTGACCTTAGTCACAGGGCATCATAATGCTAAATATACCCTAAAAGATCTCATGTATTCCAGACACAATCTTACTTATCCATATAGAAGAATAACAATCAAATATCTCCCTGTAGTCTGGATCCATCACTCCAGCCAGCATGTAATTTGTCCATAGCCTACTCTCTCAGACTTAGCAGAGTTTTTGACTAATTTCTCTGATCTTGGTTGCTTTCTTTGTTGGATGAATTATTGCTTGTTCTTTACTTTCTCCCGTATCAGTAGTAAGGTTTTGTTGGTTTGCTGTGTTGGACCTGATTGATTACTTCTTAGCTCTTCTTTTCCTTTCTTTTCTTTTTTTTTTTTGTCTTTTTGAGACAGGGTCTCCTTGTAGCCCCAGCTGTCCTGGAACTTACTATGTAGACCAGGCTGGCTCCAAACTCACAGAGATCTGCCTGCCTCTGCCTCCCAAGTGCTGGGATTAAAGGCTTGTGCCACCACACCCGGCTCCATCTATTTTTATCATGAAATTTATTCTTTTCAGTGTTTTTGTGACCAAGACTGTCTTTCCTGCTCCAGAGTCTATAGTATTCCATTAGATAACGTCTGGAAAGTTGGCATGGTCATGAAATGGTTTAGTTTGTGCTTACCTTGAAATGTCCTTACTTCTCTCTCAGTTTTAAAAAGCAGCTTTACAGGGTATGGTAGTATTTTTTAGCATTCGTTTATTTTCAGGGCTTGAAATATAGCAATCCAGATTTTCCTGATTTTTATGGTTGTTGAGAGATATGATGTTTCAGTGCTTCTACCTCTGTAGTTGAGCTGGCGTTTTAATATTCTTTACTTACCCTATATTTTTGGCACATTGACTGTGACATATCATGAGAGGTTCTTCTCTGGTCTCGTCTATGCAGGGTTCTAATGTTTCTTGTGTTTGAAGGTGATTTTCTTTCTCTGGGTTTGGGACATCTGCTGTAATTTAGATGACTGCATTTTCTCTGCCTTCAGTGTTTCTCTGGCTCCTTCTATCCCATAGAGTCTCAGCTTTGGTTTTAGATGACATCGCAGACTTGTTAACAGTGCGGCCATGTCCTTTTGTTTTCCCGTCTTTGAATGTGTGAACCTTGTCCTCCACCCTCATGTTCTTCCTTCAGCTGCACCGAATCTACGGATGATGCTTTCCTTGCCAGCGTGTTTTCCTTTGATTGACCACGTTTTTCATTTCCAACAATTTTATTTATTTTTTTAATTTTCAAAATCTAAATTTCCTTCCTGAATTTTTCTTCCATGTTGTGATATTTTATCCACATTCATGATTTTCCCATTCATGCGGCTGAACTTTTCTTCAGTTTTTCTGAGTTTTCTCTCCAGGTCCTGAATTATATGCGACTGCTTGTTTGTATTCTCTTTTAAGTCACTTTACTTTTTTTAACTTTTGAAATCTTCATCTGACATTTTTCCCATTTCAGTAACTTTGATTCTTTTGGAGAAGTCACATTGGCGTGTTTCTTTTGTATCTGTCTTGCAATTTGCATGTCTATTGTCTTGTATATCTCTTTCAATTATTATTTTTTTTTGGTGGGGAGAGTTTATTTTACTGGCCTGGCACTCACTACATAGACCAGGCTGACTTGGATCTTAGAGAGCTCCACTTGCCTCTGTCTCCTCAGTGCTGGCTGGGATCGAAGGTATGTGGCACTGCACTGGACTTCAAGCAGCCTACTCTTGAAGCCTTCATCCTCAGTATCACTCAGTAAGGAGAAAACAAATTGCTTTTGGCAGTATCTATGCTTCCTATCCTGTTGCCAAGGAACTACGTGTGCTAATGACGTGTTTATTTTTCCCTATCTTTTAACTACTACTTTATTTATTATTTTTATTTTATGTGTATAAGCCTGCATGTATGTATGTGCACCCATGCTGTGTAATACCCATGGAGTTAGGAGGGGGCATCAGAACCCATGTCCTCTGCAAGAACAACCAGTGCTCTTAACCACTGAGCCATCTCTCCTACCTCTGTGTCACCCCCCTTTAATTTTTTTCTTCAGATATCTTAAGATTTTGCAGTGGAAGGAGAAGGCATTTGGGGCAAAGAAGCCTTCTGGCACTCTTGAGATCATCACAGTGAGGAAATCACTTAACTGACATAGGGAGAAGGCAAGTCTGGAAGCCAGGTGAAGTGACCAGGACAACAAGCAGGAATCAGCATTTTCCATTTACATATCAATACAGTCTTAATGTGGCACAGCTGTTGCTTATTTTTAAATACTAAAAGTTTAGAGTCATTCATTCATAGCTCTGAAATACACTCTACTTTCTCCTTTAGTTCTTTCTTCAAAATAATCACAATTTAAATGAAAATCAATTTTAATATTTCTAATGAATTGAAACACAAAATGTTTTAACTTATAGTTCTCAACTTTTATGTTATAAACTGAAGCCTTTATGTCTGAATGAGAATTTAATAGAATTAGTTGGAAAGAGAACATAAAACAGAAAATACAGTCCGTGCAAAGAAAATATATATAAATTCCGATAAGTATAATCAAACTTTGTGAAACCAGTCAAGGGTCTACTTTATGTTGCAAAAATACTTTCAAGGTTTCGAAAGGATTCAAGACTGTTTTAAACACAAGCTTTTCTTGTGCATTCAAAATGTTATATAGAAATTAATGCGCACCCTTTTTAAAAAAAAGTTTATTTATTTATTTTTTAGAAGAAGCATTTCATTACAGCTTTAACATACTTAATAAAAGTTTCCAGAATAAATGTACGTCTCTTTCAAAAGTGGCTATAAAATTTTTAGGTTCACTGTTGAATTAATACAGTTATACAATATTAAATTCAGTATAAGCCCTGTAAGACATTGCTTCTTACAGAAAGACTCATTGTTTTTGCTAATAACACTCAGTATTGGCACATGCCTCATTAATCTGTATGTCACTGATTATTACTAGTCATAATCAGTTTCCTAATAACACTCAGTTGTTGGCGCATGCATCTCTCATCTGTATGTATCTGATTATTACTAGTCATAATTGGTTGCACTCGGATCCTTGGTACCTGTGTATGTCTGTAAAGTCATTGGGTAGATTTCAATGGTTCTGTTTATCACCTCTAATTAACATGACATAAATCACACAGAACATAAAAAAAAGATCTCCATTTCATTTTAAAATGTACTGTTTCTTACAGAAAGACTCCCATTTCTAAAGATATATATGTAGTTGTAAAGTATATCTGAACATTTCCCATAGCCATTATAGTAGGGTTAAATGAGATCGACATACATATTGATCAAAGGCTTTGCAATGACCCAGGATGAACAGAAGTACATGCTTTCCCCCGCTAAATGTTCATGCATTCATCTGTGTTTACCATGGTGAATATACCTAAAATATGCTAAGCCAGTAGCCAGAACTGCCAGGCCAAATGGTACCAGCTTTGTCCAAGGGAGGCCTGAAGTTGAGTGATTGTCATTGCTAGTAATGCGAGTCTTCAGGGGCTTGATGATCCTCTCTTTCTGAGTCAGGATGGCTCTCCGGGCCCCATCCCATTTCCCTGGCCCCTGCAGGCGGTACTGGTATGGAGTGCAGGGCCCAAAGAAAACCTCCATGGCCAGCTTTGGATCTGAGAGAAACAGGAAGAACAAATTGGGCTTCACCCCGACCAGGGTGGCAATCTCATCCATGTACTCAGTGTGGTCCACTTGGATAGTATGCCGGGCTGTCTTCACATACCTGAAACACAAAGGCAGAATATGGAGTGCTCAGCCCCTGTCAGGAGGCACGAACTTTATTTCTATTCATCTTAGAAATGAAAGAATTAACAGTGAGAAAATTGCCCTGACAAACCCAATGCCACTCAACCACTGACTGGCACTGTGGACATGGAATCCTTACTTTCACTGTGTTGTTATTGTTTACTGCACCAGGATGACTGCAGATTGGGGTTCATGGTGAACTCTAGCTTTTAAGATTTTTAATGATTTTTTTTGGAAATTATTTATGTATTTAGTGTGTGCATATGCATTTCTACATGCCACAGCACAGGATTGGAGGTCACAGGACAACTTACAGAAGTTTGTACATGCTGCTATGCCTGATGACTTGAGTTTGGTCCCCAGAAAACACATGGTGAACGGAGAGTTTTTTTAAGGAAAGATTTTGATCTAGCTAAATACCTGCCTTTGTGCTGTGTGGATAATATATAGAATTCAACTTCCAGTCCCTCCGTGAATTCATATTCAACAAGGGGGATATAATCAGCTAGTGAATTGACCTCAGGAGCTTGGTGAGTGCAGTGGGCTAAAAGGTGATCTATTTTTGGCCTGTGAGTTGCTATGTAGACCAGGATGGCCTTGAACTCAGGGTGATCTGCCTGCCTCTGCCTCCCAAGTGCTGGGATTAAAGGCATGCCCCACTACACCTGGCTAAAGGTGATCTTTTTTTGCATAGCAAAGTGATTCTGCAATACCACTGTGAATGACAGAAGCCTTGGGTGGCTTTCTGTTCTTCCAATGCTTCATTACAGAGCACATAGTACATGCATGTCTGGGGCCTGTATAACCCAAGAGGTCTTGATGTTTATTATGAATTTTGCTACTTTGAGGCAGGAATATCATTGTCTCATTTGCATATAAATATTTTATAGGATGAAATCAACACTATGCACACTGACTATACAACATAGGACAAAGATTGTTATCTTTCTGATATAAAATGAAAAAGTATCATGGAGATATGTGGAGGTTGGCACCTATGGTGCATGAGCTGAATATTTGTTCCATGTGGTGAGACCTTCCTATAAAAGGATGCTCCTGGTACTGTTACATAAAAAGAAACAATAGCACCACCATTTTGCAATGCTACCCATTTGGGTTGTGCGGAATTATACTGGGAATTCTTAGCAATATACTTGTCATGATAAGCTCAAAATAAGTTTAAAGAATGATGTGGAAATATTTCACCTCTTCTTTTAAATATTGACAAGAATAATAATTGAATGGCTTTTCAAGCTATGGGTTTCCATACACATAAACCTGAAATAAAGTAGCAAGATAATATTATTATTTTGTGTGTTTTCTGTCTGTATTTATTTCCTTCTTAGCCTGAAAATGTGGCCAAGCCTTTCGTGTTCCTTGTGTCAGAGACAGTTTTCACTCCATTTCATGACCAAAGAAATATCTTATTCGTAAGACATCTCTGCTAACTTGCACCCTTAAATTCTGACCTCAGAGAATAAGATACAGGATGAACCAGAGAAATATTTTCACACAATGCATGAAACAAAAATCTGGGCTGAAAAAGTCTAGGAATACATGGCAAATGTATAGAGAAAAACTGTGCGATGTGTCTGGGGAAGTTGAAGCCCCAAGCCATCTCAGCTAGAGCCCCATCCTCAGCAAGGACTCCTGCACCCTATTCATCATTCATCACAAGGCAGTAGACGCCTCCAGACTTTTAAGTTTACTTTAACTTTAGGCCATTAGCAGGTCAGTAAGAGACATGATTGTGATGAAAACCAGAGACTAATCCCATTTTCGAGGAATCAGATATGCTTCCTGGATCATGGGGAGATCCTGGAATAAACACCACTAAAGACAAACTAAAGACAGAAGTGCAGTTTCAGATTTAATATGATATAAAGAGAACAAATATGTGGTCATTCATTGCAGAATTGCATTAGAAAACTAAGGCTTGGTTTTGTGCTGTGTAACAATGTATAGGAAATGGAGAAGGATATGACTGAATGAGATGAGGAAAGGAGATAGGAGTCTAGGCTAGGAATCCCATGATCCCTGTGAAAATTCCCACACTCTTGTCACTGAATTTTTTTTTTTTTTTTTACCGTTTTTCCATAGCTGTTTTCCTTTGGGCAATGTCTGCCTTCATGGTCTTCACTGAAGGTAATTTGCTCAGCCCTAGAAGGGAAAATTCTATCAGGATTTGCAGTAATAAGAAGGGTATGGTTTACCTGAAGGAGAAAACTAGTGTGAAGAGAAAAGTGGGTTCACTTTGGGTAAACTGCTGAGCTTTCTGTCAGCCTTTATTCATGTACCTTTGAACACCCGTGCAGCCCAGCGAGACTGGAGTTCTGCAATAGGCAGGATGATGCCCAGGGGCTGGATGAGCCCAATGACAGCAAGTGTTGGCTTCTCCAGGTCAGGAGGGAACATCAGCTTGTAAAGGGATACTTCATTATCAGTAACTGCAATTAGACCATCCAGGAAAGGAAAAGAAAAGCTGTATCCTGTAGCAAAGATGACAACATCGATATTCTCCTCCACTGTGTCATCGTCAAAAATGGCGTCTGTTTCCGTGAACTCCTTCACATTGGGCTTCACTTGGACTTTTCCGGAAATGATGTGATTTGGAAGGTCATCACTGACAGTGGGATGTTGACTCAGTAGTCTGTATATAAAAATAGAAGTCTAAGCAAATCCAAGGAAAAGAAAGCAATGTGTTTGAAAAGGAACTGAAGCTAGCAACTTCTGTCTGTTCTGATTCAACTATTTCTAATGTCATATGAGAGTGGTATATGTGTGTGCATGTTGTGTGTGCATGTGCTTGGGTAGATAAACACTCATGCACACGCATGCAGAAGTCAGAGGACAATGTCAGGGGTTCCACTTTATCACTCTCTGTCTTAATCTCTTCTAACAGGGTCTCTCCCTGAACCTAAAGTTTAGGGTTGGCGAGGTAAAGCTAGGCTGGCTAGTCGGTGAGCTCCTAGGATCTACCTGTCCTGCTTCCCCTTGCTACACTTACAGGCACATGTGGCCATGTCTGGCTTTTAATTTTTTTATGTGGGTTCCGGGTTTCAAACTCAAGTACTCATATGTATATAGTAAGTGTCTTATCCACTGAGCCATCCCTACCCCGGGAGAGAGCTTGGTAACTTGAGTGCTTTGTGCCACCTCACTTCTACTTTTCTTCAAGTATTTTATGCCGTATTTTATCTTGAAAGCATGCATACACCTTTCATTCTGTGTTATATATTTCTTACTTGTTTTTCTATCAAAATATTTTTACTTCTTAGACTTGAAGGAAAATGATGACTCTTAACTCCAGTTTGAAAAAAAGTCATACGCTACTATTAGCCTTCCCTTCTCCTCACTTTCTACCAAATTATTATCATTTGTAAAGCAAAATTAAAGTCCAAAACAGATGTAGAAAGCATTTGTACCAGAATTAGCCACAAAGCTACCTGACACCCCAGCACTCAAATATTTGTTAAAATAGCTAAATTGTTGTCTTAAATAATTGGGCCTCACAGTGTACAGAGAACGAGAGACTGCAGAGTGCTCATACCTGAGTAGGAAACCTGTATCAGACTTCTGCCTCTCAAGGCTTAGGAACTATTGCAGAAGAGAGAGCAAAAAAATTGTAAGAGCCAGAGGACATGGATGACCAAAAGGAAACAGAAGTTTCCAGACAGCTGGTCAGTTACCCATGTGAACTTACAGTGATGGTAACAGTAGGAACAAGCCTCACATAAGCTCAAGCCCCCAGCACAGACAGGGAGAAGTCAGTAAGAAACCCCAACTCAACCTAAGGAAATTGTGGCAACGAACGGTTGGTAGGAGGGGATGGGGCTTTTGGTAGGTTAAACAGTCTCCAGCAGATGGACATTTGGGAACACAAATTAGACTCTATAGGTCTTATTATATATGTAATATAGTACATTAAATTGGATGGTGGTCAATAAGGGGAGGTGCAGATAGGGGAGGGGAATCTAAATACCATCCAAATATATTGTATGAAATTTGCAAAAATTCAATAAAAAGGAACATAAATAGGAAAAAAACCTGATGGCACACATCTTTAATCCCAGCACTCTGGAGGCAGAAGCAGGTAAGTTTGAGGCTAGCCTGGTCTACAAAATAAGTTCCAAGTCAGCCAGGGCTACACCCCAGGCCCCACCAAATGGTACACATATAATACATGTGAATGTGTATATATAGTTGAAGGCTACTGTTACAGGCCTTGGTTGCTTCCCGGAACTTGAAGGTAAGACCCTATGCTGAAGATACCACAAAGTTCAGACCCAGAACTTGGAGCAATCGAGCTGGAACTGACATGGAAGCCTCCTTCCTGAAAACTACCTTTTGTAGTATCAGAAGGTATATACAAGTTGCCAAGGGGGAAAAATCAATCAATGATCCTACTCAGCTATAAAGTCTATGAACCTCAACAATGACCAATCCAGTATTTTCTCTATTAGTACGATAGAGTCATTTTTATCTTGGGGTCAATCAACAGCTGTCTAGTTGGACTTAAGGCCAGCTCAGTAGGAGAGAATTCATGCATAGTACTGTAAACACCAAAGTATGCATGGTTGGAGAGGTCATAGACCCTAGAGAAGAACCTGCTACTGCAACTTTCCCAGGCCAAAGTAAGTTCTAACTATATCTTAAATATGTATCCTTATATTTACAGACAATTGTACCTCTCATCACTCTTCAAAGAAACTTCTTTTTGCAACAGATGGAGACTATTACAAGTTCCACAACTGATTAAAGTGATTGTGTGGTGCTTAGCCACAGCTGACATGTATACAATGCAAATCCTACATCTAAGGCTCAGAGAACATTACAGAAGTAGGGGTGGAGAGATTGTAAGAAGCAGAGGCACAGGATGCCTGCTGTTTGATAATGTATTCTAGGCATTATAGAGAAGCCGCAGCCATGAAATTCCCAGAGCTTGGTTGCCTAACAAAACCTGCATGGTGATAAAACCTGTCGACATGCCAGTGTGGATGGGGGAAATGACACAGAGTCCCACCTCTAGATGAAGAGTTACAGGCAACCAATGGATGCTGAGGGAGAGAGAATTAGTTTTCTCCACGGACAAGCTCCTTGATAAATTATCTAATCCCAAAATGCATATACACATGTACATTCAAGTGCCACTAAGTGGACTCAATGCATTAAAATGTAAATGTATGTATGTATATATAACAATGATAATCAAAGAAGAGGGTAAGAAATGGAAGGGAATTGGGGGACACATGGAAGGAGTTGGAGGGGTGACTGAGAGGGATAGAAATAATGCAAATATAATACTCATGTGAAATTCTCAAAAAAGGACAAATAATAATAGAGGACATGAAGTTAGGGGGTAGTAAGGTGGGGAAGAGGAGGAAGGGATCTGAATATGATCAAAATGTATTATATAAAATTCTCAAATCAAAAACATTTCTTAAAAATTTATGTCTTTGCATAGTAAAATTGTACCTCAAGTTAAAACAATGGGATAATATGAGCAGAAGAAATGTAATATACATAATTCAAAAGTAGGTTGTTTCTGTAATATTTAAGTAATTCTAGCAAATACAAAGCCTTATATATCTTAATGAAGGGAAGTCACTGCCATTCAGTGCTTTATTCTAGTAGGTGCATTGATTCTCTGAAGTGGATCTGCAGTCATGACACTTCTCAGCTTAATTCCTTCCCTCATTACTCCTAGTGTTTATGAAGATCTAATGTCATATTCATGACCATTTCCTGTATGTTATATCCTGTTACTCAGTGCTTAGATCATGCAATCCTAGATAAAATGCATCCGGACCTTCCTTCCTTCCCTTCCTCCTTCCCTCCCTCCTTCCTTCCTTCTTTTGTTTCTTTCATGATGTAGAGATATATTTATACATCTCTCATCACCTAGTAGTAATCCCACATTGACTTTTGCTTTTTTCACTAGAAGCTACTGATGATTTTTGAACCAAGAAACTTCCATGGGATACGACTTGGAGAAGGGTAGTCTTCTTGCAGGGGAAGGGTTCATTAGACATTCCCCTTCCATGTGGCCTTTTCTTTACATTTCTACCCCGACCATTAACTAAACTGAGTCTGTCTTATTTGGGCTTCAGTGTACCCCACCCTGATACCTGTCATAGCATCCATCATATTACTTTGCTCTAACTTGTTTTTATGTCTTTGTTCTCCAAACTTGAAACCTGCTGAAGGAGGAGCATTGCATTATCTTTTGTCTGTGGTTGGCATCTAGCAATCAAATGTTAAAGGATTGCTGAATGAATGAGTGTATATAAGTGGTGCCAAGAAGCAATCATATATTTGCCTATGATAATACACATTATGCAATTTTGAGTGTTTCAAGTTCATGAGTATATGAGAATCAGTCAGTTGCCAAAAATTCAGTTGTCTTTAAGCAAATCCCATCTTATTCACACATGATTTCCCACATCAAGTCCCATGTTTGTCACCTGTGCTGTGGCTGCAGGCCATAGTGTGAGTGATTGAACCTTGAGTTCACTGTCTTCTCTAGGTAGTTATTTATTGCTGCTGTAGTTGATATTTTCCAGAGAAAATGATGGAAACGGGTGAAAAAGGAACTGTCCATGGGATATCCATTATCCCAGACTCGATGTAAGATCCAGGATCCTCGTCTAGTGCTGAGGAACACCTGAGGGAGACGGAATCAGAGCAGCAGAGGAAGCAGGGAAGCATTTGCCTGGTATTTTATCCATGTTTAGCTATTACTTTCTTTTAAAAGTTGTTGGCCATTAGAGAACAAGAATTAAAACATGGTGCAGTGGCCCGTGCTGTGCTTTGCCAGGGCTGTTACCAATTTCCCAGAAAACACTGCTTATATGACACCAAGTTTATGAATGAAAATGAGAGCATCTTATTCACTCACCTGTAGGTCTCTGAAATACCTTGGTAAAAATATATTGGCACAGTTATGTTTTGCATATAAATAAGAGTTTGAATCCAGAAATTAGTTACCATATATAATTTTATATTGTTTGCTTTAAAATAAATCTGTGGATAGGGCTGAAGAGATGGCTCAGCGGTTAAGAACACTGGTTGGTTGTTCTTGCAGAAGACCAGGGTTCGAATCCCAGAACCCACATGGCAGCTAACAACTGTCTGTAACTCCAGTCCCAGGGGATCTGATATCCTCTTCTGACCTCCGCTGGCATTGCACAACACGGGTGCACTTACCTACATGCAGGTAATACGTGCATACACATAAAATAAAAATAATAAATAAAATAAAATAAATCTGTGGAAAATATATTACGTAAAAGGCTCAGGAAGACAAACATCACGTGTTCTCTCTCATATGTGGATCCTAGCATCTAATTTTTATACATGTCCATTTATGTGGGAGTGAGTGTGTGTGGCCAAGAAATTAGAAAAACCTACATGCAGGTAATACGTGCATACACATAAAATAAAAATAATAAATAAAATAAAATAAATCTGTGGAAAATATATGACGTAAAAGGCTCAGGAAGACAAACATCACGTGTTCTCTCTCATATGTGGATCCTAGCATCTAATTTTTATACATGTCCATTTATGTGGGAGTGAGTGTGTGTGGCCAAGAAATTAGAAAAGGGTCCATAGTCGGGGCCGGGTGGGGGGGGAGGCTTCAAGGGAACATATGTGATGCCGAAGTGGAAGAGGGAGTGGGTTTAAGTGGGGATGGGAGTCAGGAAGATTTGGGAGAGGGAACAGTGGGCAGAGGGTCAACCAAAACTTAGAATGTGAAAAAACCATAACCTATTACTAAATAAAATTTAAATAAAAATAAAATTTTAAATTAATCAAATTGTTGAGAACTAATGTCTTGCTTGGCTTCATATAATTGGAACCACTCTTCAAATCTTTCTGCATTGCATTATGATATAACTAAAAATTAGATGGAATTTCTTGTTTGATGTCATTGGTTTGTAATCATATGGTTGCTGTGTTGGATTTCAACTTTTTTTGGTCAAATCTGTGAAGCACAAGATAATTTAGATTGTGCTAGTGACCAAGAGTTACTTTTTAAGCACTTATTAAAATGCTTTAAAAGTACACCTTTTTTAAAGTTTCTTGGTGATAAATTGTCCTACAAATGATGATAAATGACAAGAAATGAAGATCCATAAGGAAAGATAGGATGTCTGAACACTCTACTAGGTTCGACAGCTGATTAGGAATTTACTATACCATGCTCAACAGTATAGTAATGCAGTATAGAATACAATAATTATCTCATTCCTCCAAACTCAGAATGTTATTAATTTTCTAAGAGAAGAAAGAATGCCAAATAATTGAGCATGAATGTTCTTAGGTAACTTGCTTTTATGTTAAGTTAAATCCAAATAGAAGTTACCATTTCCTTCTATCTTTTCTACCAACACTTTCAAAAGGATCATGTATTCACCATCTCCTCTATTAATTCTGCTATCAAAATCTATTTATTTCAGGCAGACTCACAACTTCTTGTTTTTACTATTGCTTGAAAAATCTATTTCAGGTACTAGGTAGCTGTGGTAGCAAGAAAAGTTGGATTAATTATTAACACCTTGTTTGTTTCTTTTTCTTTTTCTTTTCTTTTTTTTTTTTTGTTCTTTTGAGACAGGGTCTCTCTGTAGCCCCAGCTGTCCTGGAACTCACTATGTAGACCAGGGTGGCCTCGAACTCACAAAGATCCACCTGCCTCTGCCTCCCAAGTGCTGGGATTAAAGGCGTGTGCCACCACGCCTGGCTTATCTACACTATCTTCTTCACTTAGGTTACTTGGCAAATTGTTTATATGTGTTTTGCCGTTGTCAATATGAGGGATATATTTTGCATTTAGTCTCTACTCAGCATGAATCTAGACATCTTGAGACAGGGCCCATAGATTAACCAGTATTTTTTCCTGGCCTTTCCCAAACCAAGCCTACATTTAGGATGGCACACAAAAAGCACAGGGTTCCAGTAGTGGAGTTAATGAAAGCAAACAAACCTGTTTTGCTACACGACTGAGCTCTACAGCAATATCCACGCCAGAATTCCCAATGCCAACCACTATGATTCTCTTTCCAACATAATCCTCAGGACTTTTGTATTCCCGACTATGGAAATAAGAGCCTTCAAACTTCTCAATGCCTACGACAGAAGAAGAGAGTTTCTTGTTATGAAGAGAAATTTCACAACAAAGAGAAGAAAGATATGCTCTGAACAACCTGAAAGAATAAGAAATGGAATCTGGGTCAGTCAGCTGAAGGTCATTCATCCTAAAAATTTAAGAGAGCTCAAGGGAAGGGAACTAAACTCAGAATGAAACCCATGGATTCTAAACACAGGCTAACGACCTTATGATGTACTTCTGAAATAATAGACTCACCTATCTTGAATCTGTACAAAATGTAAATGTTACAACAATTGCACTAGATATAATGCCATTTATTATTACATTATTCATACTGCTGTAAGCAAAATAATAAAGCAGTATATTGAGTGTTGTGCAGTTTTACTATTATCAAAGACTATTATGCAGAGATCCTCTTTCTTCATTGGCATCTCTGCCTTCTGGTCCCTGACACCCTGACACCACCATGCTGTGCCTTGCTTGGCTGAGGGCCTCATAAGAGCCCCGAATCTGCCTGGCATTCCTAGACCTCTGAGCATGCTTATGTCACTGTCCTCTGATATCTATACAAATATGCATGCCTCTCACGTGTCTCTTCTCTATAAGGCATGTCTCTCAGCCAGGAAATAAGTCAATATGTGGATACAATATCTCATTTCATAATCTATAGATTATTTCATAATTAATTACACACTTATTTTGCTTGCAAGTTATTTGGAAAAATGCTTCTCAACGAGATTCTTACTGACACCTGGGAAAGACTGAAGTGGCAAGTGGGGGTCTGTATGATGGCCGCTGCAGACCAGGATGCCATCAAAGACCATGGTCTTCTGTATCCCATCAGTCTCCACAACAACATCCCATTGTCCACTGATGGAGAAATCTGGACGCTTCCTTACACTTTCCACTTTGGTCTGAGAAGAGGATATAGACATAGTCATTCACTGTCACAGTGTCCTTTGGTTCCTCCTTTCCAAGTCCCATAAATCTCAAGAGCATGATTCACGTAAAGTGTTCATACTAGTGTAGTTCTCACTGCTGGGAATGTCCATGGTGAGTTTGCTGTGGGTTCATTTTCAATATATTAGGATATTCTGTTAAAAATCTAATTTCCTATAAAAGTAGAAGCAGTTGAGGCTTCATGAAATATCAGAAGAGTGACTGAACCCACAGCATTAATAACTTCTTTCCAGGAAGATTCCCATATGAAAGAAAATAGTGTTTATTCTTTAGGTTTTTCACATTTTAGCACTGGCCTGTCCATTTTCCCCAGGCCTGAATTTTGAATTCCAGAGAAGAATATAGAAATGGGTTTTAAATGCATGAATCGCAGTGTTAGTCATAGGTAGATGGTAGGAATGAAATCAGTGTTGTTTATATGAGCTTGCTTCTTTTCTACAGGCAACATAATGTTTAGTCATTACTAGTATTATTCTAAGTTCTCAAACAGTTTGAATTAAGTCTTATAAAGAGGACCATGACATACCAAAACATTATCAGAATTGATTCTAATAAGCAAAATCTTCCCATCTCATATTCAAGTGAAAGTGTGAAAACATAATTTCAACATGTGATGATTTTCTGATGTGAAGCTCGCTAATAATCTTTTCATCTGGTCAAATCAGAAAGTGTCATGTGTACAGTTGCATGTGCACATATACATGCATGTACACACACATGATGCACATGTTATACATAGACACACACACATGATGCAGTATTTTACCTTAAACTGAATGTAATTAAGAAGACCAAAATGCTTGGCATACATCCTAAAGTACTCCATGAGTTTGCAGTTATGCATGTAGTTAGGGAAGTGATCAGGTACGGGGAAATCACTGAAGCACATCATCTCCTTTGAAGTGTTGATGGTCACAGATTTGTAGATACTAGGTCTTTTCTCTGAAGGATTTTTCTACAAGAGAAAACCTCTCAGTACACTAAACATCGCAAGGACCAGCAACCAAGCATCACAAATACCAACAATCAAAGTATTTTTGAAAGAAAAATAACCTCAGGTAATAATAAAGCAGTCCATTGCCTTTTATAAACTTCCCCATCAATATTCTTTCCCCAACTCCTGGATCTTCTACAGAAAAAAAAAGTTATAACTAATCAACAACAAATTCTGTGTATGACTTCACAATTGGAATGATGGAAGTCAGAAAAAACAAGAATAATGTCTTTAAAATGATAAAATAAAGATGTTTGCCTAGACTTCTAAGCCCAGTGAAAACACCCTCAAAGTAAAAGTGAAATCAATACATCTTCAAGTGAATAAAAGCTGGGGGGAAATAGTGGCCAGAGATACTAGAAAGGGTATAAAAGGCAGTTCTTTGAGCAGACTGGGAATAGACCAAGAGGGAGGGGCATGCAGGCAGAAGAAAGAGAGAAAATACCAGAAATCACAGATATAGGGAGTGATATAAAAGTATTTTAGCTGTTTAAAAATATAAGTTACTGTGGAATTAGATCATATTAAGGAAGTCAGGTGTATGATAAACATGGAAACAAGCTTTTATAATGTACTTGCTTTTCTCAGAAAGTGGCAAAATAAACATAATGTGTAAAATAATAAATTAAATATGCATTTAAATATTTTAGAGTAGCCATTAGTAACAACGTGAGAATGAATAAATAATCAATGTAAAAGTAAAAGAGAAAAACAGAATGTGACAATTAAAACCAAAAGAAGATAAATGAGGAATGAGAAATTTTTTAAAATGTTAAAAAAATGCAAAAGAAAAAATTATATGCAAGTTCTCAATTACAACAATAAAAATACCCCAAACACTGCCAACACCTTTCTACTTGTTACAAGAGACAGAGTGGGCATGAAAGATGGCTGTCACATGGGAAACGCTGAGCAATCGTCAGCTGAAGTGGCTGGACTAGGGGCAAAGGACATGTTATGGCAAGCCCAAAGATAATGAGGGAAAGAAAGAAACGGTATAGAAAGAAAATTTTAAATTGAAATTCACCTAGTAACTGTTAATATATGAAGCAAAATTTAGCAAACTTAAAAGGAGAAATAAAGGACTCATTCATAGCTGATAGAACAAGAGAACAAAAGTGGGTAAGGCCTAGAAAATTAAAGAACACAACTAAATAGTGTTACTTAATTAACATGTATGAACAAATAAACATAACTTTAAATATATTATTTATTATTTTTATTTCTTATGTGTATGAGTGTATTGCGTATATGTATGTAAGTGCACTAATGTGGTGCAATGCCTGCAGAGGTCGGAAAAGGGCATTGGATACCCTGGAACTGGAATTACAAATGGTTGTTAGCCACTGTGTGGGTGCTGGAAATCAAACCGGGGTCCTCTGCAAGAGCAACCAGTGCTCTTAATCACTGAGTCATCTCTCCAGTCCAAACATAACTTTAGACTACATACTCTTTTGAGGTACATATGAATTTGTAAATGCTTTATGGTTGGCTACAAAAAATGTAAACAAATTTCAAAGGATTAAAATCAGAATATGTTTTCCAACACCAGAGGAATTAAATTACAAGTTAAAAAGAGAAACATAATTTTAAAATTCCCTGATTATTTAGAAATTAAGCTACAGTTGTAAATAACCTTTGGATCAAGATATTTAACATACGAATATTAGAAAATACTTTGAAGAGTAACGAAAATATAATGCATAAAATCTGTGAATGAAGCAAAAACAGTCATTTGGCTGGGGGGATGGCTCAGTGGGTAGAAGGGCTTGCCACACAACCATGAGTACTGGAGTTGGGAACTCAGGACCCATGTAACTGCTGGATGAGTATGGAGGACCTCCTATGATCCCAGCTCACGTGAGGTCATGACAGAGAACTCCTGGAACAAGCCGAATAGCCAGACTAGACAAAATGTGAGCTCCACGTTCAACAAGAGAGTCTGAGCCCCAATATATGTACATGGCAGAGAACAGCTGAGGAAAATACCCAGCATCTACCTCAGGCTTTCTGTACATTTGTGCACAAAACATGAATCACAGATGGCTGGGGAATACTTTTTTAAAAATATTCAACATCCTTACTCATCAGGGAAATGCAAATTAAAACCATTTTGAGATTTCACTTTACTCAACTCAACCCAAACAACAAACAGGGACCAATGCTGATGAGGATGTGGGGAAGGGAGCTCCATTCCCACTGCTGGTGGGAGTGCAAACTGGGAAGCCTCTATGGGAATAGGTGTGGAGATTGCTCACAAAGTTAGATACTGGTCTGCCATATGATCCAGCCATATCACACTTGGGCATATGCCCCAAAGATCTATATTCTGCTATAGAGATGTTTGTTCATCCGTGTTCTTTGCTGCCCTTTTTACAATAGCCAGAAAATGGAAACAACCTAGATATCCATCAAATAAAAGTATGTACATTTATACAATGGAATAGTATTCAACTGTTAAAAATGAGATTATAAAATTTGCAAGTAAATGGATGGAACTGGAAATAATCATACAGAATGAGAAAAGCCAACTCAAAAGACAAACATTATGTGTTCTCTCTCAGCTGGATTCTAGCTTTGAAATCTTAGATATGCGTGTTTTAATTTGAAAATCCAGAGAGGTCAGGAAATTAATAAATGACCATGGTGGGTAAGGGAGGCTTCCTGGTAGGGGGGATAGAATGTAGTGATGGAAAGGGGGAAAGGGAAAAAAATAGAGGAAGAAGGGTTGAATGTGGTGGGGAATGGGAGGGTAGGGCAGAGGAAGGAGTATGGAGAGGGATAAACAACACTAAAGGCCTCTAGAAAAAGCCATCTGGAAATCCACTACTCCAGAATGTTCTTAAAGTATATGCATATACATTATAAAAAGAGATAGAAAGGAATTAACTTATAACAGGAGGATATTGCCCCTACTAGTCTAGCAAAATAAAAGCTCAATGTCAGAATTGACTCCCTCTTTTGAAGCTGTTGATCAGGGGCTCCATGGACCCTCAAAAATACTAGCCATGGCCCCTGCTCTTGGCTACCCACCAGAACTTGATGGTAAGACCCTATTGCTGAAGATACTTACATACATGCCCTGTAGAACAAACAAGGAAAAAAAATCAAGCTGAGACTGACTTCAAAGTTCCATCTCGACTAGCTAGTTTTCATAGTGCTGGAAGGTGCTATGCATGCTACCAGAAGAAAAAAATATCATCAACCTTACCCAGCTGTGAATCTAGTGAGTTACAACAACAACTGGCTTAACAAGAGATGCCCTCTGGTGCAATCATAACACAAATACTGTTGGAGTAACCAATCACTTTATAGTTGAATTTAAGGTACATTTCTAAAGATGGAACCCATATCTGACATTGATATAGGTCTAGAAACCTGCAGATAGACAGGTCACAGGCCATAGGGCAGAGTTACTACTATTATTCTGCCAAATAGATAGTATTAAACTGAATCACAAAGATTTACTGTTACATTCAATATTAATGCATCACTCACCTATAATTAAAACAGAGACCCACAACTGGCCAATGAGCAGAGAATAAAAAGCTTCAGAGTGCTTATTTATGAATAAGACACATATCAAACTTCTGCCTCCCAAATTTCATTGTAAAAGAGAGGCCAGAAAGATTGTTCAGAGCCAGAGGTGGTCGCTGATCGCAAGGAAATAGTTTTCCAGACAGTTGGTCAGTTAATCATAGGAACTCACATCAATCGTAACAACATGCACAAGTGCTAAGTAAGCTTAAGCCTGATAAAAATCCTAGTATAGACGTGGGGAAGTAAGAAACCTCAACCCTACTTGAAGAACTATTGGTGACTAATAGCTGTTGGGAGGGGGAGAGTCATTTTCTTTCAAGGGTGTGACTCTTGATAGGTTAACCAGGTTCCAGTGGATAGACCCACACTGAAGGACATTTGGGAACACAAATTTGATTCTATAGGCATATATATATATATAATGAAATTGAGTGGGGGGGTTGTAAAGGGAGTATAGATTATAAATAGGGAAGAGTAATATAAATATGGTGAAAAAATAAAAATTTCAAAAATTCAATAGGAATTATCAAAGACCTAAATATTAAAGGCAAATAAGAAAGATTCTGGAGGAAATATGCAAGGGTATGTTTAAAACCTATGGATGAGTAAATCCTTCCTAAAGATGACACCCATAGCACAAATTAGTAAAAAACTTTGATAACCTTGACTCATTTAAAATTAATAATAACCTCTGTCAAAAGATGACTTATGACAGCAGAAAGACATTTGATAGTATCTTGTGGTCATCTCTAGAAGATAATGTGAAGGAGATATTAGCAATAAATGTATGCAAAGAAAGACTTGTTACAGAAAATGTAAAAATATTTTTTATGAAAGAAAAAGAGAACCAAATTAAAAGTAGTCAAAAATACTTGAACAGTTTTTGTTTTACATAAGCCCAGATGGCCAACAACCATACACACGGGGATATGCACAGGAGACAGCAGTCAACGCCACTACATGCCCACCAGAGTGGCCACAATACTCAGTACTTGCAAGGAAGACAAGCAAGCAGGACTCTCATTTATTAATGTTATTGGCAGAAATGTATATTGATATGCTTATTTTAGGAGACTTTTTTGTATATTCACTGAGACTAAATATATTCCTTTAAACAGGAAATTTATTTCCAGGAATGTACACAGAAGAAGCAAGTGCTTGTCTATCCACAGACACATGTAAGAATGTTCACGGGAGCCTTAGCCATAATTGTCAAGTGGTGACAACCCAAAAGTCAGTCAGTGAAATAACAAAAGAATCAACAGCAGTCTATTCATCCAATGGAATGCTGCACAGCAGTATGTATTTAAACAAAACACTGCTGTTATAATAAATGGCTTTGACATATATAAAAGGTGCATGGAAGGAGTTAAATAAAGCCAGATTATAAAAATTACCTAAAATACATCAACAGAAAGTGAGTAAATGGATGAATCGTACTATATTTACCTATTAGAACATTACACATCAATAGAAAACAAAATGAACTGCTATTATAAGCCCAATTTAAATGTCAAATATACGAATAATAAGTGAAAGTATCAATAAAAGAAGATAATTAGACAATTCCAAGGACCGGCAAGAGTAACTGAAGGTGACAGAACTGGAAAGAGAGGGATGAATGGGTCCTGACTTAGGGAGGAGCACAGGAGCCTTCCAAGTTTCTGGAAATAGTCTACATTTTGGTCTGGGAATACATTGTATAGATGCATACTAGAGACAAAATCTCTTTTCATATTAATGAAAGGAACTGTCCACTAAGAACATGTAATAGTCATCAACTTATAAACACATACAATGAACATTTGGATGCATGATAAAAATCAGAGAAATGTAACAGATATTAATGTATAGAATAAAAGATTATATGTTATTTAAATGGTACAGTTTACCATAATCTCAAGAATCCTGGTGCGGTTTGTCATCATCTCATAATCTCATGTCTATCTTAATATTGAGAAGCTTTGAAGTGGACATGCTTGTTCAGCTCTTCCCTTTGGTCTATTCTGAATGGAGATCAAGGTGGTCCATTCACAATTTAAGAAGATTTGTTTAAAATCCTCTATTATTTTCAAGTTCCTTAGTATAGTCTACACCCACTAACATAACCCAGCTCTGCATGTCCCCCATAATCACATCTAGCTGTATCCTTCTTGGTCACGACCATCTAGCCACACTAGCCTCCTGGCTCTCCTCTGCCATGCCAGGAAAATTCCCACCTTTGCACCTGAAGGTCCCTATAAAGCTCTTTCCCCAGGTGTCCCCTGGGATTTCTTTCTTAGTTTTAAATTCTTAGTCCAAAAATCTCTTCACATAGAGAGTCTTAATGACCCCTTGTTTAAATTCTCTAAACTCTTGGATCATGTTGTACTGTTTATATTATGCCTACTGCTCCTTACCATAGTATTTATTTCTTTTACCTCTCCCTCTTATTAGAATTTAAGCTCCACGGTGCTTAGGATTTTGTTTCATATTTATTAGTATATTACCTTACACCTATAAAAGTGCCTGACACATAGTTAAGTATTCAAAAATATTTATTGTATAAATGAATAAATTCCTGAATTAAAGAAGATACAAAATTGATATTTAGTATTTAAAAATCAGAATGTCAAAACAATACTTAGAACATCCCATAGGTTACATGGAAATGTTTAAATCACACCAATGTTATGTTGGAAGATGTGTCTGGGGGTAACTGGAGATGGTCTTTGGGCAAGTATAATGATTCTGTAGTTTCACCAGAACTGGACAGTATTGATATTAAATCCTGAATTTCATGGGCACTTCCAAGAACAGCAACATGAGGCACCAAAAGAAGATGGCCACTTGGAAAACTGAGCCTATTCAACATTCAGTGTCATGTTTGCACCCTTCAAGGCAGTAAATCTCTTGCTACTGAGAACTCAGAGAACAATAGTCATTGCTCTGTATTATACACACACACACACACACACACACACACACACACACACACACACACACCGCCCCTACACCCACACACACACACCGCGCCCTCGTATATATACGA